ATGGTTGGGATTTGAAAAGATGCCCACAACTTCAATGTCGGAGGAGAAACAATGAAAGGATCCAAAGACCATTTCATAAATTTATCTTCATCTTTTAAATAATATTCTTTAGAACATTTTGAAAGAGAAAACTATAATTGCATTATGATGGAAGTTGGATCAATTATACATGACGAATAGTCTAACCAGCATATTCCATTTGAAACAACGTTTGTATTCTCATCGCATAATAGAAGATGAATCTTTAGAAGATCACCTAGCTATCTTAAAGAAATAGTCGCTAATTTGAAGATCTTGGAAGTTAAATATGATGAAAAAGATTTGGGATTAATTTTGTTGTGTTCGCTGCTCATTTCATATATGTCTTTTACAGACACGATATTATATAGTCATGATACTCTCACCATTGAAAAAGTTTACGATACTTTAATTTCAAAAGAGAAGATAAAATATTTTGTTGGATCTGAGACTCATAGATGGTCTTATTGTTGATGGTAGTTTCGTAAGAGGCAGATCGAAGGCTAACTCCAGTTATCAAGTTTGTAACTATTGCAAAAAGAAGGGGCACATAAACAATGATTGCTACAAGTTGCAGAATAGGGAAAAATTGGCTGCAAATCAAAAGAGAAAACAATTAAATACTTCAGGCGAAGCACATATTGCAAAATTGCTATAGTAACGAAGAACTTTTAGTTATTTTTTACGACAATTCCAAACCTGAAGATGATTGGATTTTTGATACATAATACACTTTGCATATGTGTCCCAGTCGGGATTCATTTTCAACATATGAAGAAGTTAAAAAGTGTCGTGATTATGGAAAACAACGCACTTTATAAGGTAGTTGGTATTGGAAGGGTCGGACTTCAGATACTGGACGAGACTGTTGATGAGGTGAGACATGTTCCAGATTTGAAGATAAATCTTATCTTTTTAAGTACTCTTGATTCAAAAAGGTATAAGTTCCCTTTATATTTTGTTTGACGTTCCCTTTGTTTTCAAAAAAATTGTGGGCGAGAATAATATTTTTTTAAAACCGTCTAATGGTATGTTGTCACGTGGTAAAATGTAAAATATGATATGAAAAATGATATACATGTAGCATGATTGTAAAAACTAATAGTATGTTAAAAGGCCAAGCAAGCAATTATGTTAATTGCTACACGGATGATTAATGCAATGGTGCAACTAAAATAATTTATATAGTTGAGAGATGATAATGAAACAATTTAAAATTTGATGGTTAAGATGAAACTTAGTGTAAACTTTAGAGATTATTGATAAATATTTTCAAAATTACCAGTCAAAGTTGAACGCGCATTCATTGTACTTTATTCTAAAAATATTTTATAAGTGTTATAAAAGTAATATTTAATATCAATTTGTTGGGAGGATTTGACAAGTCTCAAACAAATTAAAGAAAAAAAATTTATGACAGAAATTTAAGAAAAGAAAAGAAAATTATACTCTTAAAATTCAATTTCTATGATTCAATTTTTTTGTGATGATGAAATAATACAAATAAACAATATTTTTATACTATATTTGGTATATAAAAATTAATTGCTAATACATGAATTTAAATATCCATTAAAATTTCTAAATACATGAATAAAAATAAATTCATTTATTATAACTCTAGATTTATGTATATCAAAATTCATCAAATCAAGATTCATTAAATATAAATTAATGTTAATTAATTGAGAATTAATAACACGAAATTCATACATGATAAGAATTTTGTAGTATTTATTATACATTGAAAAATGAAAAGTAAAGTATTAATAAAATAATTGAATTTGTAATATAGTTAAAATCGTTCAAAAATGATTCTCACTTGATATGATATTTAATATATTATAGATAAGCCAGTAGATTCTATTAAATATGTGGCTAAAAATTCAATACAAATCATGGATCTGATAGAATATGTAGTTAAAAATAAAGTTTGATCAGCTTAAAACATCTACAATGGTTACACCAAATTTAATGCAATTTGGTTTAGGTTTGTTGAAACCCTACACCAAATTTTGAGATAAATTTTGCATCATTTTGTACCAAATTTGCACCGAACTGAATCATTTCCAACCCAATACACCAAAAATTGCACCAAATAAGCAGTATTTCATTATTTTCTTCGTTTTTGCATTCTTAATAATTTATTTATTTTTTTTATTACCACATAAATTATTAAATAAATAATTACGTTCAATTAACGAAAAATATTGAATTCATTAATAAAATTAAAAAAAAGTAGTACAATTAATACAAATACCACAAATAATAAAAATATTAAGTCATAATATTAAAAACAAGTTAATACGTTTCCGATGCTACCAAAAATCATACCTATCAACTTCCGAGCTCGACGACTGAAGATGAGTACGAACGAGATCTTCCTGTACCTGAAACAAAGGTATCGAGGTGTATCCTTGTCGCCCATTCGATATTTAAGTCAGAGAGAGAATTTATGAAAATAGTATATGCTGTCAATTGTGTGTAAAAACATACATTGACAATGAATGTGAATGATGTATTTATAGAGGTGGGTGGTGGACTCCTAGTAGGACTACAATGTCGAGATGCCTAGGAGTCCTAGTGCAATTGGAAGTCATAATGTAGTTGGTTTCATATTACCCACGTGTTTGGATGGATATGTGACTAGCGTTAGAATCTTCTTAGAATGAGGTAGCGTATTCTTATAAGGACTCTACTTCCTAGCCCGAGCTCGAGGAATATAAGCCCGAGGAGATCAGGCTTGTTCTCTTGCTTAGAATGAGGTAGCGTATTCTTATAAGGAATCTCAATATCATGATATTACGAAGTCGAATTAGAGTTGTCATTTAATTCTCGAAATTCGTATATTTATCCAAAAAAAGGATTAATTAATGCATTTTGCAGTGCAATGTGTGTATCTTTATCCTTGATTTGTCTACGACGAGTAACAAATTCGTGAAAACAATGATTTTCGTATTAATTTCAAATAATCATATTTATTACTTTTTAAAACTTCTCGAGTACTTTCTTTTAATTCATTCCTAATTATTATTGATTACATGAAAGATGCGAGTAGTAGTAGTAGTAGTAGTAATAATAATTTATTGTATAACAAAAAAATGGACACAAGCACCCTTAATAAAATTTTTGTGCAATATGGAAAAGAATGGCAGAAAGGACATTAACCATTTTGGTGTGTTGGGTTGGAGCGTATTTGCACCAATTTTTTTGTGCAAAATGGTAAAATACGGTGTTTTGGCGTGAGGGGCTTATTCTTAATTATACTTTTCATTTGTTAAAAACACCAACTTTTGACCATATCCTCAAGCTTTCAAAAGAAGGAAAATCATACAATTTCCTCTAAAAAATATAATGATAAATTTGATCGAAAATTGCATTTACATCCCGGACATTTCGAGTTGCTACTTATATACCCTTTTTACATCAGTTAATTTTGCAATGAATATGACTTTAAATTCATTTTTTTTTCTTCCGGTACTTTTTAAAACTATCGATGCTATTTTATCAAATACGACAGTGGACGTCAAATTTATACGATAATAATACAATTATAGACCCAGATCTCATTGAACTCTAGTTTGAATTCTCTACTTTTGCATGGCACCAAATCCACGTTTCTTTTTTCATCACCTTCCCCTTCCCTTGATAGACAAATATTCTGATTTTACAAAATCTAGAGAAAGTTTATGTCACGTTGCTCCTTAACAAACTTCACCTACATTATGTTTGGAAAAAAAATTAATTTTAATTAAAGATAATCAAACAAACTTTTTTTAAATTCTCTAATCTTGACCTCCATGTGCATATTTTGTCTTTTTTTATATCATTTTCTCACCTTTAGAAAGGGAAAGTTTACAATATATTTCCTTCATTTTCATTTTCAAAATCTACAAAAAGGATTTGCTTAATCCCTTTTAATGCAAAAATCTCATCAGAATATAGTTGAGTGCACAATCATTTGCAGTAAGCGCTGCTCGCGAAGTACAAGTTAAAATACCTTGCTCAGCCTCTAGACATAAGAGCATATTTGGTTAAGTTTTAAATCCAATTAAAATTGAAAATATAGTCGTTATTAGGTCTCGCTCGTCTAATAAAAGTCAGTAATAAATGCTAGTTTTTCAATTTTAATTCGATTTTAATCTCTACCGAACACGCAATAATACTCATTCTTTTAAAATACATTTTTCTCTTTCTTATTTTCAATCACACATATTTTTCTTATTTTTTACCCACATATTTTTTCATCAAAACGCTATCTAAAATGTATTATTGGGAGAATAATGTAGCTCAATCGATACTAAATTTCTACTATAAAATAATTAAGTGCATAATTGGTAAATGATTAAATTAAGATTCAAGTGATTATAAATTTTAGGTGATACAGAAAATCACTTAACAATAGATAAACTTAAAAATTACTTATAAGTAAATAAATAAATTTTATTATGTCCACGTGTTTGAGTGTATTTTTTCAGAAAAATAATTTTTTAAAATGTGTGTTAAAATTAGAGAATTTATTTTAAATTTATTATAAAATTATTTAAATAACATTGTGACATGGTACTAACCTAATGATTAATTCTCTTCATTTTACTTTAATTTATTTGTTATCCTCATTTTTAATCGCATAATCATCATTACACTATTTTAAAAGTAAATTCAAATTTTTTTCTTATATTTTAATTACGCATTCTTTAAAAATATTTTAATTGCATTCCTCTTTTTCAGTGTATTAATTAAGCAATAAATTCACACAACCAATTCTTTTACTATTAGATAAATATATAATAAATAAAAACGACCAATTTCTTTCAAATACCAACTTTTTCCACTGACTGACCCCGCGCTTTCTTCTTTTTCTCCGTTCAACTCCCAGATTCTCTTGCTATGATCACAACCACCAACCACAACCACTGACGAAGGAACAACCAGAACCACCTTAAAAACCTTCTTCGAGTACTATTCATTGATACCCAATCATGGGCAACTGCAACGCTTGCATAAGACCTTCAGAAAGAGAGCAGGCACCAACGCCAAAATCAAAACCCCCAACTCCAAAACCACGGAGAAGTCCTCGACCTCGAGAACGCCATCCGAACCCATATGCCGAGTCCCCGGCCCCGATCCGAGTCCTGAAGGACTTCTTCCTAAAGACAATACTTTCAGATAAGTATATACTAGGTCGGGAATTGGGTCGGGGTGAATTCGGTGTAACCTACCTTTGCACGGACCGGGAGACAAGGGAGGACCTTGCTTGCAAATCGATTTCGAAGAAGAAGCTACGAACTGCGGTGGATATAGAGGACGTGCGCCGGGAGGTGGCGATTATGTCTAGCCTGCCGGAACATCCCAATATCGTGAAGCTACATGCGACGTATGAGGACAATGAGACTGTACATTTAGTGATGGAGTTGTGCGAGGGAGGTGAGCTATTTGATAGAATAGTGGCGCGTGGGCATTATAGTGAGAGGGCCGCCGCCGGGGTTGCCAGGACTATTGCAGAGGTGGTGAGGATGTGCCACCAGAATGGTGTTATTCATCGAGATTTGAAGCCGGAGAACTTTTTGTATGCGAATAAGAAGGAGAATTCGGCTCTTAAGGCTATTGATTTTGGGTTGTCTGTGTTTTTCAAGCCTGGTGGGTGTGTTGAGTGATTCTTGAAAATAATTGAAAAAATACGTTAATATTTTCTTCTGAATTTTGAAAAAGATTTCGAATTTTTGGCTTATGATCTAGACATGGAAATGAATTTCTGGGTTTGAGGAAAGGGGATTTGATTTTTTTTTTTTTTTCCACTTTCTGTGGTTTTTGAGAGGGTTTACAGATTTTTCAAAATTTCCTTTCAGGAAAAAAGAAAAAACTGGACTGAGTTTTTAAATGTTTGTTTTTCACTTTTAATCATATCTGGACGAGATTTTAATTTGAATTTCAAGTTAAGTGTTTATCACATGATTATCTATGGGAGTTTAGTAGTCTGTTTCTTTTTTTTTTTCCCCAACTCGATTAATTTATTGATGACTTTCAATCAGGCGAGAGGTTCTCTGAGATTGTGGGAAGTCCTTACTACATGGCGCCGGAGGTTTTGAAACGAAATTATGGGCCGGAGGTTGATGTATGGAGTGCCGGTGTGATTCTTTATATTCTGTTATGTGGAGTTCCTCCATTTTGGGCAGGTATAATTTTAGTTTTTCACCATGAAGCCGCCTTACCTCTTAAAAGTTATATCTACTTGCGGTTATATCGAAGTTTTATCTAGTTCAGAGATTTGTAGTTTATTTTATTGTCTGCTGCAGAAACTGAACAGGGTGTTGCACTAGCAATTTTAAGAGGAGTGATTGATTTTAAGAGGGAGCCTTGGCCGCAGGTTTCTGAAAGTGCCAAAAGCCTTGTTAGGCAGATGTTGGAGCCCGATCCAAAAAAACGCTTGACAGCCCAGCAGGTGCTTGGTGAGTATTTCTTCTTTTTTTCCTTTTACCCTTTGAATGATAAAATTCTTGGAAAATATTCTTAGAGTGGGATTGGTGGTGCCGATATTTATACTGTGTCTGCTTTAGTTTCTGAGAAATGATTGCTGAAGGAGGAAATGATTCACCATCCTGAATAGTGTCTTGCAGTTATAGATGCATTAAACAATTCACCAACAGCATTTGGTTTTGGATGTTATATTCACACAAAGGAGGAAACGTAGGGATATGTTGGAATTTTGTTCAACATACACAATGAGATGTGATTTGTAATGAACATATGTGTATCAACCATGTGAAAACCAAATTGGAAGTAAAAGAAATCAAAATAAAAAATGGCTTGGGCTATCGCCCAGCCAGTGTTTTGCAAACCCGAGGCCTATTTGATGAACTGGGTGATCGCCCAGTACAAATTTCTGCCCTTTGGGTTTTGAATTTCGGTGACGTTTTTGACTTGATTTTTGCACGTTTTCGTGCATGGTGATCGTAGTTCTATATATAGGGATGGTTTTCGTATTGGAAAACTTATCACAAACATCAAATTGATTCCCTTACGTCCAAAATCAAAGATTAAAACTAGTTTTATATATTGTTCTTCAAAGTTCATTTTCCAAGTTTTGTTTGCTTGATTCAAACTCGAATTAAGGTTTGTTTATTCCTGCAAACTATTTGCCATTTGCCATTGAAGCTTTTAGCACTTATCCCGGTGGCGGCACGTTTGAGGACAGCTATTTGTAATCATGTTCAAACCTTCCATTTTGGCGAAATTCTTGTTGCTAGTTTTTTCTTGTTCTTCGTCAACTTTACTCAACAATCTCAAATGATATTTTTAACATGGAGAACGACATATGTAATGTAACATTTTTTAGAAGACACCAGAGAATATTTTACTTTGCCTTTTAATCATTTTGTTTTAAGATAAATTTTCTTAACGTCATAAATAGGTAATACCCATCTTTTTGTGAAAATATTGGGGAATTGGAATGATTGGCATATGAGCATTGAGTGAATAAGGATTTTATGCTTGTGATCATTTAGGAGGGAGGCAATTAGACCTCTGGACATTATGAAAGGTCTTTTGACTTCTATATGAGAAGATCTTTGTTCATTGAAGTATTGGTTTGCTTGTGTATATAATACTTATAGTGTGACGAGGGCTGTGAGACATTTGATCTTATCTACTGCTGTATAATGCATATCATATATTTTTACATCAAGCAAATGGGTAGGAGATTTCATTTTTGCAGCATGTTTTTTGTGATGCAGCAGTGACATGTTCCTTTTTTAATTTTTTGGGGATAGATCACCCATGGGTACAGAATGCGAAAAAGGCTTCAAATGTTCCTTTGGGAGATATTGTTAGGGCAAGACTCAAGCAGTTTTCTGTTATGAATAGATTCAAGAAAAAAGCATTGAGGGTAAGCATCTCACATTTGTTTAGGTACACTTGTATCTTTTTGCTGGTTGTTGCCATATAAATGCTGCTTTTTGAAGAAATAACTTCAGAAAGAATGGATTTTAATATCTTATGAGAAAAAAAGATGTAAACAGCTTCTGACAATGATCCTCCTACTCAACTAAATTTGAGGTGATGGGCAATGCCTTTGTGTGTACTATTAAGGATCTCTGTGGATAAACACGCTACTTTGATTTTGCTATTATACCCCGAATGATTATTTATCCTCCAAATTGTGATGTAGGTAATTGCTGAACACTTGACAGTTGAAGAGGCAGAAGTAATCAGAGATATGTTTATGTTGATGGATACTAACAATGACGGGAAAGTAACATATGAGGAACTGAAAGCTGGTCTTCGTAAAGTTGGTTCCCAGCTGGCAGAACCAGAAATGAAGTTGCTGATGGATGTGGTAAATGTTATTGTTTTCACAGAAACTTTGGAACTGTTTCCCACTTTATACCTGTTCATGTTTTGCACTTTCATCATAAACCGTGTGCCTTTTCCTTTGATGGTTGAAACTCGAAAAATCCAACTTGAATTTTTTTTTGGGGTTTGGCATGGTTGATGGATCCATACTCGTTTACTAATTCATAAGGGAAAGTGCAGTATCCAAAGGGGAACTTGACTCCTTTGCTCCTCAAAGTTTTAACTAGGGGGGAGAAACATGAACCTCACCACCACATTGACGTGTTTATTTCTATGTGTGTTCAATTTATGCTAATAAAAGAAAAGCATTAAATAATAATTAATGAAGTCCTTGATAAATTTTATTGTGGTTTCAGCAATGATTGATTGCTCTCAGTTGAAATATGTGTACATGTTTTAAATGCTTGTTTCCTTTCTCTTGTTTTGGTTCTGACTGATTCAAATCTTTGATTCGTCAACTGTAATAGATCTTAAAATTTCTGATAGGTGATTAATCATGGGAGTTGGACTCGTGGTTACGTTGAAAGGGTCTGGTTGTTATGTCCTGATTACATGCGGTCCAGCTTTCACTTCTCTAATTATACTGCTCCTATTCAATCTTTCTAATAGGAACTTCCAACCACCCTTTTATATGATCTTTACAAATCCAAATTCTCCAGAGGATTTATACTAAATGTGAATCCTTCCCCTTGGATTTTCCTTTTGAGATCTTAAATGACTTTTAAATGAGGGTCGGATGTTTTGTTTTTAGAGATTCTGCTGCTCAAGCTTTTTCATCTGTTCAACAATTGCTGATGATCTCATTGAGAACTTACTGTAAGCATAAAATAGAGAAATATATTTTGATTTATTTTCTTGCTGTAATTATTAGTTTTAATTTAGAATATTTTTGTTATTTTGGCAATTTGTCTTTTCCGCTGGGAGTTTTAAGCTGTCTACGTAAAAATAAATAGGTCTATATTTCTGAATAATGTAGACAACTGATTTTTTGATATATAACCTATTCAAATTTCCGCCCAAGTTTCTCTCCCCATTTCTCGTCTAATTTTTCTTCTCAATTTCTCGCCTTTTTTCTTTTCATATTTTTCTAGTTCTACATCAATTCCTTCTCTTCTTGTCACGTCTCTGGCAAACATCTTTGCTTTCTTCTCATTTCAATATACGCTAAACCATTACCCCTCTAAATTATCAAAGACTGCATTGCGCATTGCATGATAATTTTTTGAAATTCTAGTAGAACTGCTATATGAGGCATAATAATGGAACTTAGCCCCTGTTTGACAACCATTATTTGAGAACTCTTTTTTCTATATACTCATTTTCAACTACACATTCACACAATAAAATATTCTAAGCGTAAATCCAAAATTTTTCCTTACTTTTTGAACCATACACTCTCCTAACAATCATTATTCAAAACATTGTTTTGGCCAAATAAAGGCCATTGGGCTTAATTAGTATAAATTTGACACTTCATTGATCCTCCGTAATGATTCTGATAAATATTGATATTGCTGGTATCATGTCTCTTTACTTTGTATCTGAAAATATAAATGTTGAATATATACTTGAACAAGATCACTATATTCATGTATGGCTGCAGAGATGAAATTGAAACGTTCCAAATGATAAATTGCTCGTTGTATTTTTTTTAATTGAAATACTGCTGCACATGGAGTCTATTTAATGTCTATTTTGATTTATTTATTATTATTTTTTTTATGCATGCAAGATTTGAGCCTTTTAAGTAGGATTGAGTGCAAGCCCATCTATGGTTTCCTTAATTCAAGCAAGTCAACTCAGCTTTCTGTTGAACCTTCTATTTCTCATTTTTGCCCTAATTTACTTCCATATTCTTCTCGAAGTTTGTTTATTGAACTTTAAACCGCCGACTTTGTAAGACATCATTTCTACCATCCCATTTATACATGGCCGTCAATTTCAGTTGAACTAACACTAACTGGTATATAAACACCAGTCCCCTTTTCAATGCCAGGGCGTTTTAAATCACCAAGACATCACAGTATATCAGTTTTGTATGGATGCCTCGTTATCAATATTCATATCGTTCTGAAAAAAACATTTTACTTGAGCATCTACATTTTTTAAGATAATCATGTAGTAATTATTGGTAGGTGTATATATGCTAAGTTCTTTGATGTCATGAGTTTAACTATCTTATGAACTGCTAAATTCTATAAATTGCAGAAAGTATTGTTGTTAGAGATCTCACTATATGCAGTTCTGCATTCCAGATTCTCTCTCTAATATGTGCTAATGAAGATTGAATGTTTAATAGGCTGATGTTGATGGAAATGGAGTCTTGGACTATGGGGAGTTTGTCTCAGTCACAATCCATTTGCAGAGAATGGAGAATGACGAGCACTTTCATAGAGCATTTATGTTCTTTGACAAAGATGGAAGTGGGTATATCGAGATTGATGAACTTCGAGAAGCTTTAGCTGATGAATCTGGTGAAACTGATGTTGGTGTACTCAATGACATTATGCGAGAAGTTGATACGAAGCAGGTTGGACGCAATCCTCGTCTCATCTTTCTTTTGTCAATTTATCATCCCGGTACTATTCATCACAATCATCGCATAGATAGGTTGAATTTGTTTGAAATTGCCTTTTTTTCTTGAAGCTAAAACAATAGTTCATCTGGTTTAGAGCCAGTTTGGTAGGGGATTTGAAAAGTCAAAAACTGTTTTTGAGACTAAGAAGCTGTTTTTGGACCTGTTTGGATCATTTTCTTGAAGAGCTCTGTTGGAAGAACTTTGTATGGCAAGAAGAGCTTTTGGAAGAAGCTAACCGATGTGGCATCATTATGAAGCTCTTCTACAAAAAGCAGAAAACCCCTGCCAAATGGCCCTTAGTATTACCTTGTGGAAGTTGAAATTATAAAACATTTCGAATTGGCATTGGGTTGTAGAAGTTCATTGACAGTTATTGCGCATGTCTTATCCCTTGTAATCGCTTTCTTTCAGGACGGACGAATCGATTACGAGGAGTTCGTTGCAATGATGAAAACCGGAACAGATTGGAGAAAGGCATCTCGTCAGTACTCACGAGAGAGGTTCAAGAGCTTGAGCCTTAATCTCATGAAAGATGGCTCTCTACAGCTTCAAGATGGGTTTACCGGTCAAACTGTTATCGTTTGAATTTTCACAATCACATTTCGGTTTGGGTTCATTGATTCTTTCTCTTCTCCTGATAGCCAGATGAAATCACTTCATCTCACTGGCTTCAACAACTGATACTTCTCAGTACGCGAAACTTCACAAAGGAGTAGCTTCAAGAGTTCAAGACTCGGGTTTTGATTGATTATGCAACATTGTTGGTTTTTATTGTGGAAATGGTTGGCTTTTGGCATAACGAGTAATGGGTTTCAGGGATGACGTTTTTACGAGTTTTTGTTCGTAGGACGTGTAGGCATATGTTATAGGTTCCATGTTTGTGTTACACAATTCTGATTCTGTATATGTTTTACTTTGTTCTGTGCTTTGTGCCATTTTAAACCAAGCAACAGTTAAATTTGTTAATTTAGAAATTGAAGATGTGAATTCTGGATTTATCCATCTGTTTAAGACTTCCATCAGTTAAGTCACCGAACTTATAATTTTATTTTAGTCTCGTTACTCTCCCAGGCTCTGATAGTCTTATGTTGACGTGTTTGATGGAAAGTTGACAGGTGTTGAACAAGATTGTATATGGCTAAAAAGAAACCAATATTGCAGCATGTACACGTTTCTTTACGTTCCGATTTATCGAATTTATACTTGGAACAATCTTATACTACCTTTTACATTTTACATATTTAATTCAACAATCTTCCACCTGTCACATCATTCATCTGTAAAGCAAGTGGTAAATGGCTTTACTCAAAAGAAATATGGATAATTATGATGTGGTCCTGGACAAACAGAGGCGTCAGGGTCCAAGAAACATTGAGATTTTATCATTTTCTCGTCCAGTCGAGCTTAACAAATACGTCCTTATTTATTACAAGTGCATCCCTAGACTAATATATTGGTTAGTAAACTGTCAATTAGTATTGTTTCTCGAGTTTGTGAACATATTCAACTCGATTAAGACTTGCAATTAATGATGCAAGAAAAGTACACCATCTATGACATTCATTTAAATGACTTTTTTGAAAAGAAAAAAAAATTGAATTTTAGAATCGGGATTTTTTAAAAAATGTGTGATTAAAAAAAAAATTAGATTAACGGGCAAAATATTTGGTTAAAAATTATTTTGACAAAAAAATAATTTTAATTTATTGGATGTCAAATGGGAGCTTATTGTGGTCCACTGTTGATACTAATTTTTATGAATAATGCTACTTGTATATAATGAAGTTACATAATAATTTACATATATATATGAGGTGTCAAAAAAGAATTGGAGAAATTTTTTTATCTAGTTGAAGAAATTCTAACCCAAATATATCTCACTACATCATGTGGATGTAATAAATCATTGTATACATATAGTACAACCGATTTTTTATGATTTCATCTCTTAATGAGATTATCTCTATTATTTTAATTTTTTAAGTTAGACCAATACAAAAGAGAGCGAAAGTTTGATTATCTGCATATTTTATTGAGTTTTCGTTTCGCTTTCATTTTTTAAAATTCACTTCTTCTTTTTGTCAAACTAATTTTCAACAACATATTTTATGAGACTCATAGTCTTTATCAACTTTTCAATTACAATTCACCATTTTTTTTAAAATCAAAATATACTAAAAATTTAATCTTTATTCAAACAAAGAAGGGCTAAGATAGTTACATCAGTTTTATGATAAACCCATTCTTAAATTTTACAACCATGTGTTTGACTTTTACGTACTAATACTAGTAAGGTGAAACTGTTCTATTTGGACGGTTTGTAACAAATTTTCAAATCAAATCAATTATAATGGTTTGAAATTTTTCCAAACCAGATCAATTTCTAAGCCAAACCAATTCAAATCACTTTTTTCGATTTGATTCAGTTTAAAATAACTATTTAACAAAGAAAAATAACATATGTCGAATAAGTTAAATCGTGATTATTAGCCTAAATTGTCACGTTAAAACATAAATAGTATCATTAAAAATATTACAAACTTAAGTTTTATAATTCTAATCAATATAATGCAACAACATTATAGAAATATTTTAACATCTTAGTCAAAACTAATTAGCGCAACATCTGCAATTATACACGAATTAATTGATTATAATTAAATGATATGGAAAAACTAATAAAAAAAATGAATAGAAAGATCAAATAGGACAATACATTTTACTCCCTCTTTTCCATTTACATAGTCTGATTTTGTTTTTTCACACACATTAAGAAATTTTATTTAATGTTATTGAAAAAGCAATATTTGCAAAGAGCTTTCCTAGATTACTCTTTCTTAATTACCAACAATTAGTAGTAAATAATGGTGTTTAAATTATTGTTGAATGTGGTAAAGAAATTGAATGATTAAATTATTATTGGAAGTAATAAATAATAGTGTTTTTGTCCATACTTTCAAGAAGAGGAGGGAAATGTGTGTATGTATTTGGATAATTTCAAGAAGGTAAATTAAAATCTATACAATTTGAAAATTAAGTGGAAGAAATTGGTTATAACAATACAAATTAAATAAAAGTATATTAGTAGATGAACAAAATAAAAAAATACTTTCTCAATAAAGAAACGGACTATATAAATGGGACAATAAAATAAGGAAAGTCAGCCATATAAATGGAACAGAGGGAGTACAACATTTTGTGAATTGTCAAATACTTCTATCTCATCCAAATATTGAAGAATCATTACATGTTTTTGTTCCTATGTAACCAAGTTTTATGGCATATTATCTTAATAATATTTGCACTCAACAAACTTCTGAAAGAATTAAGAACTCGACACTAGTAAGAAATGCCAACTCAGAAATAATTGTAAATATTTTAATTGCTAACACATCTTTAGCAATTTGAGGAACAATCTTGTACTTATTTACATTTAATTTTCACCAAAGTAACATGTCGAAAAGCTTATTGGTCAAATCTTCAAAATGACTATTTAAGTAATATACCAAATCATTCTAGCAATTGACGGTACAAGATAAAAATTAAATTAAATTATAAATAATTAATTGAGTGACTCAGCCAGGAAATTAGATACAAATAAACCAAGAATGTTGTCCACGAAATTTAAGGGAGTCCGAAGCAAATTAGAACAAAGCAATTACCAAAAAATAAGAAAATTCGGATAAACTGACCTGAAAATTTAACCAAAATTCGAGAAAATTATTAGTCTAAGGAAAAAAATATGTAAGTTCGAATTATAGACCAAAATTAATTTTGTACTCAATTATAATGGACGATCGATGAATATGGTTCAATAGCAGTTGTTCAACACTTCACCCAATTTGAGGGGTTTTGCATTCACAATTGTTATGATCGATGAGTATTTGAATATGATTTAATTAATTAATTATGATGGATAATGTTTTATCTAGATATTGAGTTTTACTGGGTTATAGTAATATGAATGTATCTTTTTAATTTAGACGTGTTTAATTTTAATTGGGTTGTACAAAATTTAAATTAATTTATTTTCAAATTTTTCGTCAATTTGAAGATTTGAAATGGTTTCCAAAGCTTTAAACATAAACCAAACTCTTCGAAGCGGTTTGGTTTGATTAAAAATCAAAACGTTGACGGATCCACGTGAATCCAAACCAACGGTTTCAAAAAGCGATTTTAGTTCGATTTTGCGATTAGCGATTTCGTCGTTCAGTTCTAACTAGTAGTATCATTTCGCAGCTCCCAAAGAAAGAAAATTAAAATAGGCATTTTTCAAAAGAAAAATGGCCAAAAATGAAAAGGCTTGCATCCATGGCCAATTTTTTAAGAAAATGAACCTATATGCCCTTAAACTAGATTGAAATTACAATAGCATTTTTATTTTTAACACAAAGGTTAAAAGAACCTTGCTTTTATGATCCAAAATTACTACCCAAAAACCAAAACCCTATTTGTATAGTATAGATTGTGAAATTCGCGTCCTGTCCCTCAATGCCCACTCAACGTGCGATAGTCTAAGAAAATCTGTTCACTGACATTTACCTATGAAACATTTTTGCTGTACTGTGTCTACTCAATCCACACTTCTTCATGGCGTGGTTAAGTTTTGGGCAGATCTTTGCTTCTTCTTCTTTGGTATTTTGATTAATATTTATGATTCAATTGTTAACATATTGAATTTAATTAATAAACCCGGAATGGTATATCTAACTTTGAAGGATAAAATTTGAGTTTTCTGGCAATCTATAGATTTTGATGGCAATCTGTCGGGTTTATAATTTCAAAATGTATATTGACTCAGTTTCAAAATCAAGCCCCCTGAGCGATTTTTATCCCATTTCTAGCAAAATTTTCACTGTTGGCAAGTGCACATGGATCCCATTGCTGCTGAAATTATTGTTTGTCTTAAAAATGATTACCAAAAATGTCTTTCTTTCGAGAAGAATGAATTTAAGGTCCGTTTGATTGTAATTATGGAAAATTGGTGGAAAGAAATTGAATTTCAGAGAAAATAATTGCCTAAAACTTGTTTTTCAGATAATTGTTAATTTAGTGTGTTTGAATGATATAATTTTCCACCCGAAAAATTTTAAAATTTTGGATCTTTTTGTGTTCGTTTGATTTTGTTTTACATGAAAATTGTCCATTAAAGTGATAATTTTTTCCACAATTGATGCTCAAATTTGTTTCAATTGCCAAAAAGTAAAAAAAAAAAAAAACCTAGAAAATCATTTTTTTATCAAAGTTTTAGTGTTCGTTTGACTTTATTTTACATG